TCATTTTCTTTTCTTTTCTATATAAGGTGTTAAAATATTTGACCAAATAGACTTTAAATCTGCCATGTAGATTTGGGTGGTGCTATAGGAATAATTGTTTTATATTATATTTTTATACAATTTTTGTATATCATTAAATGAGTGGATGCATTAAATATTACGAATCTCATATGAATTAAAAAAATCAATCATTTTAATGACACATCAAATTATACAAAAAAGTAAAATAAAAAAGTTGTACAAAAATCATTTCCCTATAGATTTAGCGCAATGAGATAGTCTCTAATTATAATTGAATTAATTATGGATAACGAATCAACAACCTAAATATTTAATGATAATATTTAATTTCTTAGATCTAAAAATGAATCATGAGTTCATTTGAGTCCATGTAAAATGCAAATAGGGTATGTTAAGGAATGTCGAAGAACAAATCAAAATAAAAATATAATAATAATTAAAACGACAAAAACAAACCAAAGAATTGGAAAAAAGACATATTTTTTTATTTATGATTTATATAATAGATCTCTTGTAGAACCATTTTAACGCATACATAGAGCATCTTATCACAGCGATATTTAATTTATTTGCTGCTTTTTTCACTTCCATGCAGACCAGAAAAGTATCCTTCAGGATTGCCCTCAAAACTGCCCCTAGAGATGGAGGATGAGCCACCAGTGCCAGGGGCAACCATCATGACAGAACCTAATCCACCTCCACCTTTTGATGAGTCTATCCCACCACCGCCACCTTTGCTGCCACCCCCACCACCTCCAGAACTACCCTTGCCACTCATGTTGAGAATTGTAAATGTATGAATATTAATTTGGTTCAAATATAGTACTTGTAATTGAACTTATATAGAACGGAGTAATAGTTACTAGCTAGTATTTATAGTAGTGAGAATGACATTGATCTACTAAGTAGTCTTTAATTATGGAACGTCATGTTGCTAATTAATTAATTAATTATATACTAATAATATGTTGGTTAAAGTGAAAAGTGTTCAATTATTTGTTTAGTGCAAAAAAATTTGGCAGCTGCATGCTTTCTTTTTTTTTCTTTTTACTTTACAAACTAGACTGGGCCTCAGCCTCAAACCGATATTATTAACTCCTCTTTCTTAATCTCGGGTTCGAGCTTTTGGAGGCCCACATCGCCCGATATCGGGACCAAGGGGGAAGCCAACCCAAACCCATATACTATCATATATTACCTCTTGTTTGGACAAAGGGCCCAGTCCTCCGAGATTGCAGCTGATGACAGTGGTGTAAGCGCGTTAGCTCTCCCCCTTAAAATAAAAATAAAAATCATAAACGCGTGAAATCCTTTTTAATTTCTTTTTTGGCCAGATGCGTGAAATGTGAATGTTCCAGCTTCCAACAACCATGGTACACTGGCGGAGCCCTCAGCCCCCTAAATTTTTGTAAAAATTTCAGTTTGGTTTCTTATGTTTTTTTTTTTTTTCATTTTATCCTTATTTCATATCATTTTAATATTTTCTAGTATTTGTGTTGTTGAAGATTACTTTAATGTTTGTTTTCAATTTTATTGTCCCCCCTTAAAAATATTTCCTAGCTATGCCACTGCATATAAAATAATTTTTTTATTGTTTTGTTAATGTTTTAATACTTACTTCCTCTGTTTTATTATATTAGATATTTTAACCTTTTGCACTTGGATTAAGACATTGATTAATTACTCTTAATTTTAGTATTAATTATAGTCAGAATACCATTTGTACCCTTTGTCTCTTTCATAGTTTAGAAGTCCAGTAGTTCTAAACCTTCTCTTTCTTTGACTTCTGCAGTTCCAATTCAACAGCTGTGTTCACATTCTCTCCAATTTCATCTGCTTTTTTATTTTTCATTCTAATTTTGCCAAAACAAAAAAATACCAATGCTAGCTTTACCCTGCAGAAAAATAAACACATACGCAAATTTCAAGAGAAAATGCCAAATTGAAGTAGTTAGCAAGGTCTAGCATTGACTTAATAGAGTGAAGAATCTTCATCCTTCTACAGTAGGAAAAAATGAGGATATTTTCTGGGTTGTTCTGATAATCATGGAAAATAAAAAAACAGGATTCCAACACGTAACATTTCAAATATCCTAGATTACATCCCAAACCCCAAATAATCAGAACACACAAAAAAATTGGAAAACAAGATAGAGATATGGCCTTGGAGGGGATTGATAAGCCAACAAGGAAACCAAAAATGAAGAGACTAAATGTGACAGACACCAAACGTTAGAGGAGAAGAGGGCGAAAAGGATACTAAATGCCTGTTGGGATTCTAAGCATTAAAGTAAGACGGTTAGGTTAGTGGGGGCAAAAGTGGAAAAATTTAAGTAAAGGAACATTGAAATTCTAGAAACGTCAAGTCAAGTAAAACAGAACAAAAATCTTACTTTGAAACGTCAAATATAATGGACCAGAGGGAGTAAATAATTCAATAATAATAATTTTTTTGGGTATAAGTATGAAAATTTTTATTCAAGTTGTATATTTTTTAATTATGTAATTTAATTTAATAAAAAAAATTTTTTTTATTTAAATTTATTTTTAATATGAAAATAATAAAATTAAAAAAAATCAATTCTTATTAACCCATGTACTGCAAATTAAGCTCAAGCACACTTGCAATTACGTGTCCCACATACCAAATTCTCTCCAAAATTAGCGAAGTGAAAAATAGAAACTCCAAAATTACTTCTATCTGCTCCGCTTGAGAAAAAAAACAGTAAAGCAAATAGAAAAAGAAAAGAAAATGAGCTAATTTTCTTCTTCGTAGTTCCTATGTTTACTAATAAAAAAAAAAAAACATATTTCATCTTGAACGAATAGGAACTGACTCTTCTTTTATTGTCTCCAAGGAAGGCTTCCTTGACCTACGCAGAGGTAATCTGTAGTTCATCTCCGGCACCGGAAACGCCTCATCTATTCCCTCCAAACCCGGTTTTGATCTTTCGTTTTCGCCTTCCTTCAAGCTTTCCCTGCCGTTAGTCTCTGGAATGATCCGAACATTCCCTCCAGATATCCGCTTGGCGGCCGATTTTGAAGCCAGGAAAAGCACGGCCATATCAGCCGCAGTCACCATGGAGTTTAACCTCTTCATCGGAAACATGACGTACACGTTCCCAAACTCCAGCTCCTCATCGGCTCCCAGTGCGGAAAACCTCCTGCCTATGTGAAGAGATTGGGAATTCACGAGGAAGAAGCTTGGACACTCCAACATGAGCTCCGCTGCCTTCACCGGTTCCCTAAACTGCCGCAGCTCGCCGCCCGGAAGCACGACTCTTGCCGCTTTTCCATTCTTGATTAAAGGGGTCGCTAAAGTGCACGAACCGTAGTTACCCATGACGATGTGGAGGAAAGCTGATGAAGGTGTTTATTGAAATGACGAGAGAAAGACTTACTTATATATAGGGGGAGTGGAATGGTCAACGGAAGTGAGTAAACGGAAATTAGCGTAGGGAAGCGTACGCGTTGGGCTAAATTACAAGAGAACGAAGGTGAGGAAAAGGTAGCGAAGGTGCACTTGTTTTTACTCGGAAATTAATGCGTGTGGGGTCTCCACCGTGTCTAAGTCTAGTTCACACGGACGGAGCGTATGACTTTGTGGCTTCAATAAGTAGGATTTTTTAAATTTGTGCCTCTAGGTATTGATTAAAAATATTTTTTAATATTAATTATTATTAAAAAATAACATTTAATAATTAATTAATTATTTAATTAAAATAATATATGTGATATTAATAATAAAATTAATATTTATTTTTATTTTAATATAATTAATATTAAAAAAATATATTAATTATATCTTTAATTTATATTTTACAAGTACAAATTAGATAAATCTAATTAAGTATTCACAAATTATTAGAGTGGCCACATCCCTTGTTAGCGAAAGGAAATTTAAGTATATAAAAATAGGATTGTTGAAAATGCTACAATTATGATTGGATATTTAGTGGTTTGATTTTATGAAAATTGGTATCCGATGTTTGAAAAGAAAGACATTTATCAAGCATGTTTAAGAGGTACACCCTAATAATATATTTAGATTGAAAAAAATAGAAAATAGAATAGAAGTAGCAAAATTTTTCTATTTTATTATAAAGAAAAAATTAGAGAGGAGGGGAAAGGAAAATTTTTTTCTTTCCTTTATCTACTCATTTAATTTATTTACTTATTTAAATGAGAGAAATAGAGGAAATGAAAGGATACAATTTCCTTTTCTTCAATTCTCTTCAACCCAAACATTTTGTTAAGTGATTATTTTTCCCGCATTCCTAAGTGATTTTAGTAATATATCTATGAGATTGATGTTTCTCAGCTATGCTTCTAAAAAATAAAGAGATCTTGAAAAGATGTTATTTCAATAAAATACAATAAAATACAATAAGAAAGATTAAAACACTCGTTTTTTTACTTAAAAAAGGTTATTTTAGTATTTTTAAATGAAAGTTTATTAAAAGAACATAATTTTGAGATATTTTTCTTTTTAATTTTTTAGAAATCTATTTGACAAACATACACACACACATATATATATATACATATATGTGAAAAAGTGCATATAAGTCTCAATTCTTAAAAAAAAGTCCCAAACTTAAATAATATCATTTTATTTAATTAAAATCTAATTTAAAATTCAAAAATTTATCTAATTAAATATTGATATCTAAATATGAAAACTAATTATATATTCTAATATAGCAAGTTTCTAAATCAATGTATCAATATTTAATAAGGGTGATTTCTAAATTTTAAATTGAGTTTTCAATTTCTAATTATATGAATCAATATTTAATAAGGTGAATTTATGAATTTTAAATAGAATTTAACTAAAAGAAATGATGTTGTTTAAATTTGAGATTCTAATGCTTTTTTTTTTTAGAATTTAAATTAATATGCACTAATCTTATATATATATATTATATTTAGTTTGAGTGTCATATTGTGCTACACTGCTGTGCTTTAGCAGTAAATAGCTTTAGTTTTTTTTTTACTATATTAATAATATATAAAATACCAATTAAAATTAATAATATATAATTAATTAAAATTAATTAATAACAATTTCAACTAAAATATTGTCTTAAAAAAGATTGTGTAAAACATTATCAAAGTTTCATGGAAAGAAATTTCTTTAACTGATATTATTTTGTTTTACTACGAGTATATCAAATTACGAACGCACATTTAAGTAAAAAGAAATTAGGAATACAAAACAAATCATCTAGGCTTATAAAAACCCATCAAATTCACCCCCAATATTATCTCAATTGATTTAGTACTAGAGAAGTTAAAATAGAAATTTTGATCTCTAATTTAAAAATGTGTGACAATCTCTAACTGTATAATTTATTATTTAATGTATCAAAAAAACAACTCAACTAATTCAAAAATGCTAGCACTCGCAGGAGGCATATGAAAACCCAATAGACAAGGCAAACACCTCAAAGCACTGTATTAATGGGCCGTCCAATCTGATACCCAATTACTACTTGTAAAACCTAATTACCGAGCAAGGGACAACCATGGTTATAGGCTTTTGGGTAGCTAGCAAAGAGGTTAAAACTTGAAGCTCCTTTTACGCATAACGTTTTTAGAATCAATGGCGAGTACTGAGCAAAAGGTTGACGCTTTCAGATTCTTGCCCATTCATTGACTTTCGATATATTTGAACAATCCAAAATTAAAATTAAAAGGATCAAAGACAAGAAAAGAAACCAAACAGGATAGTTGATTTTATTTATGAGTTATGGAACCATGCATTTTAGAATGTGCATACATTAAAGCATCTTATCGCAGCGTTTTTATTTGCTGCTCTTTCCACTTCCATGCAGATCAGAAAAGTAGCCTTGAGGATTGCTCTCAAAACTGCCCCTAGAGATGAAGGATGAGCCACCACTGCCTGGGGCTACCATCATGCCAGAACCCCCACCACCAGCCTTTGGCGAGCCTCCCCCACTACCGCCACCTTTGCTGCCACCAGTTCCACTTCCTTTGCCACCTCCACTAGCAACACCACCACCGCCACCGCCACCCTTGCCACCTCCACTAGCATCACCAACACCGCCGCCGCCACCCTTTCCGCCTCCACTAGCACCACCAACACCGCCACCCTTGCCATCCATGTTGAGAATTGTAGATGTAGGAATATTGTTTAGGTGCAGATATACTTGTGATTGAACACAGAACGGTGAAATGGTTAGTATTTATAGTAGTGGGAATGACTTTTGGTATACTAATTAAAGAGTCCTCTTGAATGGCTTGCATGGATTAATGGAATACTTAGCCTAGATATCTTCTCGTAAAATTGAGAGGATATGAATTCTGGCATGGATTTATGGAACGTCGCACTGGCAGCTGCACATTTATTGGAAGTGATAATAATTGAGGCCCAGAGGATTTTTTCTTTTATTTATTTATTTATTTGTTTTATTAGTTTACGAAGCAGATTGGGTCTCATCAGTCTCTCAAAGGCTCAAACCAATATTAACTCGTAACTTCTTTTAATTTTGGGTTCCAGATATAAGGGGAAAGGGCCAAAGGCCCAAGGTCACCGGAGACTGCAAGTCTGCAAAAGTGTTTTGGGCAAAGACGGGTGGCACGGGTGATGGGTGAAGAAGAGACCAAGACGCAAAAAAAGCCAACCCATGATCCATATGAACTTTGAAACTTTAATTAATATTCACAT